GGGCGGGGCGGAGCCGGGATGGGACAAAGGAGGCGGGGCTATAGAGGTGGGGGGGCAGCCTAGGTGGAGGGCAGAGCTGGGCAGGCAGGTGGGTGTGGCCTACGGAGGTCTCTGCCCCTCATACTTGCCCCTCTGTGTTCTTGCCCCCCCAGATGCTCCCTTGTACAGCTGCCTGGATGATGGGGCTGAGCCGGCCGCCCTCTTCCCCTCCCTGGAGCCATGTATCCTGGTGAGTCCTGCCCCCCACCCAACCTGATCCCCCTCCCCTGACTCCCCACCTCCTCTTATGGGGGTGGGGGGGTTGCTCCATTCATGGGGCCCTGCCATGCCTGGGGGGGTCATATATTGATGCCCCCCAACCACCCTCCCATGTACCAGGACCCTGTGGGGGTGTCTGTGCTCCAATAGATTGTGGGGGAGGGGAGGTTTAGCAGCTACTCCTTCTTCACCCTGATACTCTTCCCCTACTTTTGCCCTGCAGTTTGATGATGCCTTTGGCCTGGACATGGACACCAGTCCCCCGGACCCGCCGTGGGACACATCACCCATCAGCCTCTTCCTGGGTAAGGGGAGCAGTGTTGAGGAGGATTTGCAGGAGTTGGGGGGCAGCTTGGGGAGCAGGGTGGGGTGGAGGGATATGGGTATGAGTAGGTCCCTCGAGGGGCTTGGTATTCAGGAGCAGGCAGAGGGGTATGTGGATGTGACAGGGATGAACCATGCAGTCTGGGCTGTGTCAGGTGGAGGGATACACTAGTATGATATACTTGGAGGATTGGCTGACCCAGGTGGAGGGATATGTGGGCATAGTGATGCTGACCCCTAAGGCCTGGGCTGTACCTGGTGGAGGGATATGTGGGTGGGATGGGGCTGAACTGTGGGGCCTGGACTCTGCTGGTGGAGGAATATGGCGGTGTGCTGGGACCAGCACATTGCCTGTGCTAGGTGGAGGGATACATGGGCCTTAGCCAGTGGCTGGGAGATGTGGACATGATGGGGCTGGGGTATTGGCTGTGCCAGGCGTAGGGATACCTGAGTGAGGTGGCCTTGGGCCTGGATTGTACCAGGGGGAGGGGTACATGGGCACTGGCATAAGGGGTACATGATAGGGCTGAGCCATGGAACCTGGCAGAGGGGTACATGGGTGTTATGGGGCCAAGTGCTGGGGCCTAGACTGCACCAGGCGGAGGGATACTCAGCATAATGGAGCCCAGCCAGGGGGCTGGGCCATGCCAGGTGAAGCATATTAGGGTGCCACGGGGCCTGGCCCAGTGAGCACGGTGGACCTGAGGCACTGGCTATGCCCAGGGAAGGGAGATATATGAGTGTTATGGGGCTGGGTGGTGCCAGGTAGAGGGTGGTGAGCCTTGTATGACAGGGCTGAGCCTTGTGGGTGCTGGTGGAGGAATATGCCAGGGCACTGTTTCTATTCTGCCTGCCCAGACTTGCAGGTGAAGTCGGAGCCTGTCTCGCCAGCCTCGTCCCACTGCTCCGACTCCTCCAGCCTCTCTTCTGCCTCTCCCCCCAGCCTCTCTTCTGCCTCTGACCCCCTGGCAATGGTAGGTACCCCCCCCATGCCTCCCAGCCCCCCAGGCTACACCTCCCCTGGCTCAGCCCTGTCCCCCTCTTCTGCCTCCCCCACAAGGCCCCCTCCCTGGCGGAGACACTGGGCGTAAAGATGGAGCAGCCACCCACTCCCCCTTGCGCTCTTGGCGATGTCCTCGCCCCCCCCAGCAGCACTGTCCACATCAGCCTGGTGCCCCCTTCAGATGCCCAGGCTACCCCAGGTACCTGCAGGGTGGGGAGGTCTCGGGGGCACGAGTGCTGACTGGCAGGGGGGCTTCTAGCGTGGGGCTCTGAGGCGGGATATGGAGGCAGGAACACTGGCTGGGGGAGTCTAGGGGGGTGCAGGTAGATGTGGGGGGCTCCCATGTTTAGGGTGCTGGGAGGGATAGGAGCTGGCTGGCCAGGGCAAGCTGCCAGGAGGCACACTGGGGGGTAGGGGCAAGTGGGGGCGCCACAGCAGGAACATTGTCTGTGGGGTGCAGAGGGCTGCGGGGTGCAGTAGCAGATGGCTGGATGGGCTGGGGGCAGGGTGTTGGGTACAGAGCACGCAGGGGGGCTGGATGTTTGGGAGGAACTGCAGGGCTGGGGCTGGGGGGGCAGAGTTTTGGGGGGAATCGGCCCCCTCTCCTCTGTTTAACATCGTCTCTTCCATAGGGCGGCCGGTGCCCATAACCAAGCCTGAGGGGGGGCTGAGCCGGAAGCCACCCCTGCAGCCCAAGCCCCTGGTGGTGACAGCTGTGCCCATGCCCCCCAGTGCTCCCCCTGGCCAGGCTCTGCTGCTGCAGCCTCTGCCCCATGGTCAGCCCCCCACCATTGCAGGTACCCTGGGGGGGCATCACCTGGGGATGGGGGTGGAGAACAGGGATCTGCCCCCCCCCCCAAGCTCTGGTGGGGGTCAGGGGGCTACAGGGTCCTGATGCTCCCCTTTGTCCCCCTCCCCCTGACAGTGCCGGCACCGCCTGTCGTGCTCTCATCGTCTGAGCTGCTGCACCTGCGGGTGTCGGGGCTGCTCCAAGTGAAGGCAGCAGGGCCTGAGGGGCCCCCAGGGAAGCCCCCCAAGCCCGAGGCCAAGACCATTGTCCCGGCCCCAG